GTGTGGACATTTTTAGAAAAAGTAAATATTGTGAATATTATTTTCTGAAAATTTTTAATTTTTTCACAAATCGTGAAATTCGAACATTAATTTTTGGTGTTGATAAAAGTCCAATGTCAGTTACTTACCGGATGATATAATATATATATGATGTTCACCGAAAAAATGAAAGAAAAATTTTTAAAAATGACCATTTTGTGACAATTTTAAGATCTACTTAAAAACTCTAAAATTTCTAGTGAATTTTTGCCCACAAACAACCTGCATATAACAAGCTCACAAAAAGAGTAAAAATTTACAAAATCATAAAAAATGGGTTTACCTTGTTCAGTATGCTTATAACAATCAAGATAAAGTTAAAAAACATCAAAATAAATTTAAAAAATTAATAGGGTTTTTGCCGTTTTTTCGTATCTGTGAGGCACTGTGAGCCGTGGCGCAGTGGTAGCGCACTTGCCTCAGAAGCGTAAGATCCGTGGTTCAAACCCCATCTCTGGGCAAGTTTTGCGATATCGGTTGGGAAGGAGGCGTGAACTTCCTATTAAATGCTCTTCCGCGGTGCTCTGTGATAAGACCGTAAGGACTTCTTGGGATACCTTAATTAACTTAAAAAAAAAATAAAAAAAATAAAAAATAAGATTCAAATGAAAACTTCATTTGAGTCTTATCTAAAAAACTACGATAAAGTTATGGATGAACCTAATCTTAAATTAATTGAATTGCAAACCGCCCTTTATAATCTTAAAACTAAAAAAGTGCTGGAATTGATAAAATTAATGTTAATGTTGTTAAATCTGTTTTATATAATAAAACCTTTTTTGTTTTACATCTTTAATCTTTCTTTTAAACAGGTATTGTCCTGGAAAAATTAAAAATTTCACAAATCATTCTGGCTTTTTTTATTTTTTTATTTAGGTGCCCCAAGAAGACCTAACGGTCTTGTCACCGCGGAGCACCGCGGAGCACCGCGGAAGTACATTTAACTAGGAAGTTCACGCTTCATTCCTTATCGTGACGCGAAAATATGTCTAGAGTTCGTTTCGAACCTTTTAAGACTGGCGGTGATTCCATTATTTCTAATTATAGGCCTATATCTATATTACTAATTTTTTTTAAATTGCTTAAAAGAATAATGTAGAACAGGCTATTTAATCATTTATCAGAAAACGATATGTTGTATTCAAAACAGTTTGGTTTCAAAAAAAAATGTTCCACTGAACATGAGTGGTTGAAATAGTCAATCAAATAACAAACGCATTATGTACTAACTACTACATTAGGAGTTTTCATACTACTAACTACATTAGGAGTTTTCATCGATCTGTCAAATGCTTTTGATACTGTAAACTATAATATACTAATAAAAAAACTTGAATATTGTGGAGTAAAAAATAATAACTTACTTTGGCTCAAAAGTTATTTGACCAATAGAAAGCAATTTTTACAATATAAGCAAAAACAAACAATCCCATATGCTGTAATTTGTGGTGTCCCCAGACCTCTATTTTAGGACATGTATTATTTCTAGTATATATAAATAATTTAAATTTAGCAAGAGACTTCTTAAATTGTATTCTTTTTGCAGATGACTCCAATCTTATTTATTCCCATAGAGATATTAAAACAATTTTTAAAACAGCTAACGAACAGCTGGGTAAGGTTAATGAGTGGTTTACAAATAACAAACTGCCTCTAAATTTGGATAATATCAAATTTATTTTATTTCATAATTTAAATAAGTTCGAAAATATTCCAATTAAACTGCCAAATCTAGTAATTAATAACGCTAACATTAAAAGAGAAGATTAAGTAAACTTTTTGGGCGTAATATTAGATGAACATTATAGAATCAACTTACATCAAGTTTTAATGTTCGTGTATAAAATAAAAATGGGACTATCGCCTAAAATAATTTAGTCTCATTTTGAAAAAGTAGTGCATAAATACCCGACAATTTTTTCAGATAACTACATTTTCCCTAAATATAATTCAAAACAAATTACATGTTCAATTCAATATCGTGGACCTTATTTGTGGAAAAAGTTTCCTAATATTGCAAATAAGAAAAACGTTAGTATACAACAGTTTATAAAAATGAATCGAAACAGGTGTTATTACAAATGGATTTTACCATATCCAATTTTAAATGTTTCTTTAAACTAAAATTCACTTATATAAAATATGTCTCAGAATGTTTCAATATTTTTTTCATTAATTCAGTTATGGTGTTTCCTCTAAAATTTTAAAAGTTATTGTTGAAATCTAATCTGAATTCTTGAATATTTTTCTTTTCTTTAACTATCAATGAATTGTTATTTATTTTACTTTTATAAAAATTGGTTTTAAAATATTAAGGTTTTTGTAAATTAAGTACTTATTTATTTTTAATTTTTTGTTCATTAATTAAATATTACTTTATTACAAACTGATATATTTTTTATTTTATGTTTTTCATTAAACATGTTGTATAGTATACGTAGAAAGTAAACACGTGCTCTTTAATTTATTTTTTTCCTTTTTCTTTTTTTCTTTTCTTTCGATTTTTCTTCTTTACTTGATTATTACTCTTAATATTGTTTTTGAAGTATTTCTTAAACTAATTGCTATTTTTTTTCACATTTATAATTTTCAATAAATAATTTATAAAGTATAAATATATTAAAAGGTTATTGTAAATACTTACGATTGGGGCTCGTTGATAAAACAAAGTAATGTCTTCTACTTTCCACGCCAGTGTTTTTATTTATAAACTTTTAAATTGTAAGAGTTATTAAATTAATAAAAATAAGCAAAAAAAAATTGAGACACAACCCATTTCCACTTGGTGAGGTATTTTTTAAAGGAGTGGATATTTTTAATACAACATCACAATAGTTACTAAGTGGAGATAAATTTTTTTATGTGTAAATGGAGATAAATTGTTTTATGCGTATTGGAAGCGTCTATAGACACATCCAATACACATAAAATATATTAAATTTTACCAGAACAAACAAGAGGTTTTTCTCAAATGACTGAATCAATTAGTTTTTATATAACCGAAATCCTTTTTTGACCTAGGCTTTTGACCAAATACAGTTATACAGTTTGACATCAGCTGATGTCAAACTGTATAACTAATTTGATTGTATAAGTAGGGGAGACCAGAGCAGCAGGAGTAAGTACGCAGCAGGAGTAAGTTCGCAGTTCGCAGCAGGAGTAAGTTGACAACTGCGTTTATCTTCAAAGAATTTCATCAGAAAGTGCCAAAAATTACATAGAACCTTTTTATTTGATCATTTCACCTTTCACTGCAATATTGTTAAAATTCGCACATGCATAAGAAGACATTTGGATTTATGTGTTTTTTAGACAAAAACCAAACTTTTGGAAGATCGCTTCAGTTTTACTTTACAAAAAAAAAAAAATAGTAGTATGTAAAACAGGTCCCTGGCAAAAAGGTTCCATAGAATTTTCTATAAACTTTTGAAACATATGATCTATAGAAGCTCTATAGAATTTCTATAGAATGTCTAATTTCTATAGAAATTGCAATTAAACTTTTTTTTTCTATAAAAAAAAAAGTAGAAAAAAATTTTAAATAGGAATTTTTATAGAAGTTAAGAGAAACTCTATAGAAGTTCTATAGAATTTTATAGAACTACTATAGGCCATATGTTTCAAAAAGTTTATATAAAATTCTATAGAAATTTTTTTACCTAGGTTGGTTCGTAGTATTTTACTACGGAAAAAAAAAGTTTTTGAAAATTTAAAATAATATTAAGAAAACTTTTTATTATAATGAATACAAGTTGAAAATCTTTTTATTTTTATTTTTATTTTTTGTTTTTGGTGCCCCTAGAAGACCTAACAGTTTTGTCACAGAACACCGCGGAAGAGCTTTAAACTATAAAGTTCACGTATCTTTTCTTACCGATGGCACGAAATATGCTCAGAGCTTGCTTCAAACCCTGAATCTTTTGCTCCTAAACCAAGCGCTTCAACCACTGCATCACGACCGCTCTCAAAATCTAAATTCATACTATTCAAGACTACTCTTTAATATTTAAAAAAATTTTCCTGGTAGGGCTACAGAGGTCGAAGAGTAAAAACAGGCAAACTAGCCCCGGTTTGAACGGACCGCTATAGTTTTGTTTTGCCGGTTACTTAGTGGGCCACTAGGGGCAGCCGCCAAAAGCGACTAGTCATTGTTTAACCACTATTAACATGTCAGAAAGTTATCAGCCATTTATTGTGACTTCCACTAATGGTTCACTAAGTAACCGATGAGCAAAACCCCAATGATTTGCTTAAAAATGTCTATATAGATCCTCTGCAAATCCACAAAACAATGTTTGCTGGGTATTTTCATTTTTGTTTTTAAGGGATGTTACGGAGATGGTTTTATCGAATTGTGGTCTTGAGTTTGATTTATCAGAGAATTGGGAGCAATACTGCAGTAAAAGTAAAAAATTTTTAAATAAAAGTTAACGCTTGACCACAAAAATGATAAAAATATAACATAGTAATCCATCTCTATTAATAAATGTGCTAAAACGCAGTACAGCGGTGGCGCAGTGATCAGAGTTCTGACTCAGAATCCAGAAGTCCGGAGTTCGACGTCAACTCTAGCCCTATAAGCGACATTGGAAGTTGTTTACAACTGTTGTTAATAACTGCACACACACACACACACACACACACACACACATACACACATACACACATACACACACAATATCCTCACAAATTCCACAATACACTAATTGCACTACAGCAAAAATTGTTGTAGTGGAATTGGAGTGGACATTTAAGGAATTTTGAGTTGTGAAATGGAAGTTTGCTGATTGGGTACAAAGAGGGCCATTGGAGGCATCTTCTATAAGTGACTAGCCGATAACTTTTCAACATTTAATACAATGGCTAATCATCAGCTTGCCAGTTTTGAAAGTTTGCTTGATATTAGATTTATCACTAGAAAAAAATTATATACTAATATTCTAGATAAATTTTCTACTTACTCGAATTTGGTTTTTTTCTAAATTCATCTGATCATTGACAATTTCAACTGTGAAGAAAGGAGGAGCTGGAAAATAATTTCTATGCAACTTTGATAAAACTTCGTAAATATTGTATTGTTTAGAGTTTTGTTCCCATTCTTTGTTGTTGCAAAGAGACCAACCACCGATTTGCGATATAAATTCTAATGCTGGCTTGGGTCCTGACATCTCTATTGTAGCAGTGTCCATACATGATTTGTAATAAGAGTGAGCTTTAACCATTGCTTCATTCCAATCAGCTTGTGGCTCTTCTTCAAGTAATTTATGTATTTCTTTTTCAATTTTGTTTTTTAAAATAGAAAAAGTATTAATTTCAACTTCATGGGAAAGTTTGTGTTGTTTTTTCCATCCACCGCAAGCAAACTCGTAAAAGTCATTGCATGGCTCCTCGGACGTGTTTAAACCTTGCTTTATAGTTTCTGCAACTTGTTGGCATTCTTTGGAATTGCATACTTTAGAATATTTTTCAAAACTATTGATGCTTTTACAATCAAGATGATTAAACTTATAGAATATAAAAAGAGTCACTAAAGTCCAGCACCGCAAAAATTTTGCCATTTTTTGGCAATTTCTTAGATATTTAAAATTGAAAAAATTATAGCATTTGTTTGTTTGTAATCAAAACGAAATGCGTTTGGCTAAGGAACAAGTTTATGTTTACTGTAGAGCTCGTTGTATAATTTACGCTTGGTTGCCTTTAGATCATAACAATACAAAAAAAAACTTGTTTTAAAACTAAAAAAACTTTTAGTTACTTGAACTGCTTATTTTTAAAAATAAAAAATAAATTAAAATGAGAAATTATCACTGTTTATTAGATAATTTTTTTTTTTTTAAATAACCTTTTCCAACTATAAAATAAAATATTCTACTCTGAAAAAACTCGCTTTTTCCTACACTGCAACATTTATTTAGATATTTAAAGTAAGGAATGTCTACGATTAAATGCGACAAGCTAAATTAGATGTATGCAACATAAATATGTTCCATGTGCGTTAAAAAATAAACGTGGCGCAGTGGTTAGAGCGCTTGCTTTATTAGCAGGAGATCCAGGTTCGAAACGAGCAATGGACATATTTTGCGTCACGGTAAGGAAGAAGGCGTGAACTTCCTGGTTAAATGCACTTCCGCGGTACTCTGTGACAAGACCACGTTAGGACTTTTTGGGGTACCTAAATTAACAAATTAAAAAAAAAAAAGTAAAAAACTGAAATCAGAGTTGGCGCAAGTAAGTGTAACGTGATGGTGGTGGTGGATGCTATTACATTTTTTGCCGATTTAAAACAAAAAAAAAGAAAGATTCTCAATTTTTGAAACTTGGTCTATATTAACCGACTGTCTGTCTAAATTTGCCGACTGACTTGCCTAAAAAGTCTACATTTGCCGCAATGATGTGTAAATATAACTAGATGCGTCGAATCGCGTATAACTGAAGCCATCGTCCACTATTTTGCTGTACGGCAAAAACATGAGACGCTACTATAAAAACATAGAAAATTATTTATCAAAATAATAATTAATCATGAAATTTTAATTAATTTTTTATTATTTTGATAAATTAATTTTGATTTGATTAATTAAGCATCTATATAGAATTAGTTTTTACTATATTTTTAATATATATATGTTTTTTTAATATATAAAATAATATAATATATGATAATGAAACCTGGTGCAATAGTGAAGCGAAGATTTATAAATTGTTTGATGAGCAACTTGGCTTAAAAAGTATAAAAGTAGAGCGAGCACATCGCACTTGACTGAGAAACAATAAAAAACCTAGAACTATTGTTTTAAAGTTATTAGACTTTAAGGATAAAATTTAAAGTTATTAGACTTTAAGGATAAAATCTTAACAAAGTCAAAGGAAAAAATATTTACATTAATGAAGATTTCTGCGCAGAAACAAACCTAATAAGAAAGGATTTGAAAGAAAAAATGAAAGTGGAAAGACAGTCGGGGAAATTTGCATACGTATCTTACGATAAATTAGGGTGGAATGAAAGAAACGAACTTGAGTCAAGCTCGACTTGAACTTTACATTGCAACCAATTGCGACAGAGTATGGTTTTCCTCTCAAAAAATACTCTGTCGCTGTTGGTTACAAAGTAAAGTTCAAGTCGAACTTGACTCAAGTTAGCTTCTTGCATTCCACCCTTAATCATTCGGGATTGGAATCAAAAGAAAAGTAATTTATGTTCTTAATATCTTCTATCTTTTTATATTTCTATTTCTTTTTATATACATAAGTGTCCTATTTTATATTTTTACGAATAAAAGAAATAAGTTTTCTAAAGGAAGGTAGAAATAAAAAAAAATATAAAAAAAAAATCAAAAAAAAAATTAAAAAAAACTTTAAATAATTTAAATATTTTAAATAATATTTATTAAAAATTAGTAATGGATTCGAATATGACTGAAAACGAAAATGACTTTGAAAATAGTTCATTAAATGTTTTTAGATTAAATAATTTAAACACGCTAGATTAGCACGATCCCACAGTGGGCGACTGACTGGACAAAAGTATAAAAATCAAAGTCAGAATTTTGATGTCGTAATGGTTTTAAACCTTTTTATAGATATTATCAAACAATTTAAAACTTTTTATATACATCTAAAATTTTAATGAATGGACTAATTATGTGGTTAAATTATATGCAAACGTAAATTAGAAAAAAAATATTATAAAGCAAAAAATGTTGTTTACAAAATCTATGGTAATAATAAGACAGTGTATTAAATATTGCGCATTGAAAATTATTTTATTGTTGAACTGTCTATTTTCTGCATTTTAAGAGTTTTTAGATTAAAATAGGTAAGAAAACAAATAAGTTATAATAATTTTAAATACTTCATTAAAAGAATATTTAAAGTGTATTTTTTGGTTTAAAAAATACAAAAAATAGAAGATCTTGTAGTATCCTGTTATTTTATATACATATTTTGAAGCTTTTATATCCATATTATGAAAATATGTTTAATTTAGCTGCTAATATTTGCTAAATTAATTTTTATTTGCAATGATTTGCAAAAATATTCAGAGGCGTATCCAGCATTTTTTGGTGTTTGAGATAGCTAACTTCCAGACATGGAGCAAACTCCAAACATTAATGTGTTTATTTATATTTATATGTTATTTATATTTATATTAATTATATATATAAGACACTCAATAAATAACTACTACATTCCACTAACATCACTCAAAAAATCTGACTTCTCAATTACATGTCGGGGACCGCGCTTGTAAAACTCGGTTCTTGACGAAAATATGAAAAAAATAAAATCTATTGATATATTTAAAAGAGCTATAAAAAAACACTTACTAAATTTAAACAATACGTACATTCTTTCATTTTTTTAATTAAAAAATATTTACATATATATATATGTATTTTGCATGTTATGTATATATGTATATATATGTATGTGTGTATGTATATATATATATATATATATAAGTGTGTATGTATATATGTATATGTGTATATGTATATGTATATATATATATATATATATATATATATATATATATATATATATATATATATATATATATATATATTTATATATATGTATATATATATATATATATATATATATATATATATATATATATATATATATATATATATATATATATATATATATATATGTATGTGTGTATGTATATTTATGTATATGTGTGTGTATGTGTATGTATGTATATGTGTATGTCTGTATATATGTGTATATATGTATGTATGTGTGTGTTGTATGTATGTATATATGTATGTACGTTTGTGTGTGTGTGTGTGTGTGTGTGTATATATATATATATATATATATATATATATATATATATACATATATATATATATATATATATATATATATATATATATATATATATATATATATATATATATATATATGTATATGTAAATGTGTATATACATATATATATATATATATATATATGTATATGTAAATGTGTATATGTGTGTATGTATGCATATGTGTATATATATATATATATATATATATATATATATATATATATATATATATATATATATATATATATATATGTATGTGTGTATTTGTATATATGTATATATGTATATATATATATATATATATATATATATATATATATATATGTATATTTATGTGTGTATATGTATATATATATATATATATATATATATATATATATATATATATATATATATATATATATATATATATATATATATGTATATATATATGTGTGTGTATGTGTGTATATGTGTATATGTATATGTATGTGTGTATTTGTATATATATACATAAATCCTTCTTATATATATTCTTCTTGTTTCTTTTTGTTTGTCTGTTTTAATTTTGTTTAAAAAAAAAAAATGAGTAGATGAACTTAAATCAATAAAATGTTCGGAATCTTTTTCAATTCAAAATATCTTTTGTATATTTAAATATCTATTATGAAGTTTATTGGATATGTATACGCATATGTACGGATTTGTAAACTATTTTTTCAAACTTTTTTATTTTTTATTATTTTCAAACTTTTTTAGTTTTGTTAAACTTAAAAATTATTTTTTAAACTTTTTGATTTTTCAAACTTTTTAATTTGTTTTTTTTAAATTTTCACTCTTTTATATATTATTGGAAATTGTAAAATTTTTTTTTTTTTTTTCACGAAAGGGCTTGATGATAAGACATTTTGTCTTCTACTTTCCCCAGTCAGCTTGCATTTGTATAAATTTATTTGAATGTAAGGTTAACATTGTAAAATGTGTCAAATGACGAAAAAAAAAAAATGAAAATTGTTTATACTTATATCAAATAAGGATGGTTTGCAAAAAATTGCAATGATTGGAGCCTGGGAACAAAAAAGCCCCAAAATTTGAGACGTACCTGCCCTAAACGTGAGAGCAACAAGTTGATAAAATATTTTTTGTACTATTCTCAACAAGACTTATATTTATCCATAAATTTTAAATTTCATTGTAAAATATTTCAGCGTTCAAAATAATTTTTGAACGCTGAAATATTTTACAATGAAATTTAAAATTTATGGATAAATATAAGTCTTGACCATGTAAAGTTGAAATATTTTACAATGAAATTTAAATTTTATGGATAAATATAAGTCAAGACCATGTAAAGTTTGAATCTCCCTCAATTCGAGGGGGTTACAATTTTTATATGGTCATAATTTTTTGAGTGCTAAAATATTTTACTATGAAATTTAAAATTTATTGATAAATATAAGTCTTGTTTAGAATAGTATTTAGAATATTAATAGTACATAAAATATTTTATCAACTTGCTGCTCTCACGTTTGGGGCAGGTACGTCTCAAATTTCGGGGCTTTTTTGTTCCGAGGCTCCAATGATCGCAATTTTTTGCAAACCATCCTTATTAGACATATCTGGATCCACCCCTGATATTGTATATAAAATATAACATCGCGAACAAAATAATACAATATGTTATAATATAATGAATATTTTGATTCAAAAATAAGACTATTTAATTATAGTTAATATTATAATAATTAAAAGAAAATATTTCTACATAAAATAAATGAAAACCTATTGATAAATTATTTTATTTTTAACTTTAGAC